GCATAAAAATTATTTGTTAAATGCTCCTTGGGTAATGGACCTCATTCAGACAGACATTCACCAATCGACGAATCGTAAACAAACAACATTTAGCCATGTGATTCTCTCTCTTCTATCACATGGCAGTATTTTTTTTTTTTCATTGTTTTATCAATATTATCACTACATGGCTAAATGTGTTTGTTTACCATTGGTGAATGAGGTCCATTGGGTACTATATATATATATTCTATTATGGAACCATAACTGTTTATAGGATTAGTACTCATCAGTAGCCCTAAAACAAACTTAAGGTCCTCAAAAAAAAGTTGCCCAATTCTATGAAAGTATTACTATATTATGGATTTAGGTCAAATAGCCTTGTTACATGTTTACATGAGACAAGATCAAAAGGATATAGATTCTAGATCTAATTTGAACTCTTTCCCTTCTAACTGATGATACCAACATTGATTCTATTAGAACATGTTAAATAATAATGGAGAGAAAGAGTTAAGAACTACACTTTGCAAAGATTTTTTTTTTTTTTACTTTGACACATGAAAATACAAAATATAGTCCATTGATTTCATTATTTAATAAAATTAACCCTCAAATTTGTCTTTCAAAAGCATTTTTACATAAATTAGTTCCTTATACCTGCGAATCTAGATGTCTGTCAGGGGGAGGTATGGTGAGAGTGAATGTTAGTTTGATATTTTGGTATGATAGTTATATCCCCTTGTATATGTATTCCCAGGTTGTGAATGTGAACAGTCTAAGGCGTGCTGTGAACTGAATGGTTAAGGCTTAGTTGAATGTAAGATAGAGTGCGTTAAGTTAGTGAGGTCTTGCTCCCGGTCCAGGAAGGTTGGACGGTTACTTCCTGGACTGGAGTTTTGTGTATTAAATATTTATTGAAGTTGATTCATTGTTTGTGCTCTATTAGATATTATTAAAGTATCATTGTTATTTCACGGAAGTATTATTGTTATTCATGGAGTTGAAGTTTATTAAATAATAAATAATTGTAAGTAATCAAGTAACTCCCTAGTGAGCCAAATTTAAGACACACTAAGAAATGAACCCCTGACGTACTTTAGATCCCTTTCATTGCAAGCTTCTCTTAATAGAGAAGATAGAAAGGTCATGCATGCACAAATCAAAGGCTCCATGCACGCGTAGAAAGAAAATCTATCGAAGCCTAAATCTAACTATTCTAACTCTAGATATCTAATTCTAAGACGATAGATCTACTTTTTACTTTAACACATGAACATACAAAATAAAGTCCATTCATTTCATATTTTTATCAAATTAAAATTCAAATTTTTTGTTTCTAAAGCATTTTTACTTAGTTTACATACATTCATTCGCTATAGCTGCTAAATACATTTTAATAGTCCCATTCATGTGTTGTGCGCACCTAACATGCGCCTTGTAAACACACTATGATTGGATAGGCCACATGAGGCTCTATATGGGGGATATTAAATATACTAACATACAATAATTAATAAGCTTCTTGAGCCCTTGAATTTACTCTTACAATAGTAGATCTACATCTATAATAATATTATCTAGACTCTAGAACTAGATCTAAATATATATAGGCCTACAAGCAAATGTTTTTATTAAAAAATGGATTTAGGTCGATTAGCTATTTTGATAGCTCCATTCATACTATTTTTACATTCAAGCATATATGCTTTACTTATAACATTATTATTTCCTTTAATTGTTTCCAAAACACTTTCAGTGACTATATCGACAGAGGTACGCAAATTAAGACCTGCGAGCCGTGGGTAATAATATAGGTAGTACTTAAATTAAAAATAATTATAATAATTTATTTGTAATTTATACATGTATATAACACTTTTAAATAAAAGTTTTAAATAAAAAATATATATCTAGATTCTAGTATGATATAGATAATATATAGTCATAACACTAATTATAGTCTAGACATCAATGACATCATGAAGTTGACAAGACATGATAGATCTACATACTTGTAATGATACTTTTACCTATGACTAAATCTATAATTTAGAGTCTAGATTCTAGACCAGTGTTTCCCAAACTTTTGACAAAGATATCCCCCTTTAGCCTTTTATAATTTTTGTAGTATTGATTACCTCCCACCCCCAAAATGCACCTACATGAGAAGAATGAAATTGTTTGTGCTCAGATGACAGATCATAAAAATTGGTTCCCTGATTGTTAATTTAAATCTGAGATGCTGTCCAATAGTCTGTTCCTTTTTTATCAACTTAATGTCTACAAATGCTGAAAAAACAACTTCACATAAATATGAAATTGGAAAAGGCAAGATGTATTTCAGAACTTTGCCTTTTCTAACCAGATACACATGTTGCATTTGTAACTGAAATCATGTACAAGTACATCCCAAATGTTTATTTTTTTAAGACTCCATCTGAAGCTGATTCCAACAATTGCTCTCAATCCATACTTGACATAGAGTCTAGTATGGATGTTGCGTTCATATTAATTGTAATTTTTAATTTCAATATTACATGTTTAAATCAGGCAAATATTTTTTTTTCAAGTTCATTTGCGAACTGTCCAAATGCTGTGTTTCCAATTTCAGAGTGTTAGCATCAATTTTAGTTTCAAAAGTTGTTAAAAACTTATGAAGAGAGGGAAACAAGTCTACTTCTCCATTACCAACTCTTTTTTTTTGCCATAAATTTAGTTTTGGGATGGCAGCATTCTCTTTATCTTGATTGTGAAAAAATTTGTAGCAATAAGCCAAGGCAATTTAAAACACAAAAAATATCTGCTAAATATGCTAGTCTTCAAAGCCATTTTCAGTCGTTCAGACCATTTCTCAACTCCGTTCTTTTCTTCTTCTTCTAGCCAGCTTTTTGCTGCTGAGCTGTCAGCTCTTTTACAGACTGTGCCAAGGAAAAATAGTGTGTAGTTTTCTCCAGTTGTTCAGCACTGCCGTACAGGGTGTTGGTTATGTTGGGCTGGAGTGGTAGTAGGGTCTGCCTAAGGTGGATTAGGAAGGGGCATTCAAAAAGTATATGGTTTACAGTTTCATAAGGGTGGGCGCAGTGTCTACAAAGGGTACTCAGTTCTATTAAAAGAAAACATTGAAGCTAATGTGTATGTTCAAATGATTGATTTAGAATTTTTCCACGAGATAGCCATTGAACATCAGTATTGAAAAGAAGCTTTTTGTGACTACTTCCCATTTCTTCATATAATTGTGAAAAAATGTAGTTAACTATTTTCACACTTTCATCCAAAACTTTCTAAAGATCAGTGGGCAAAGAGAGTGACAATACATGTCCATTCTAAAATTTTTAAATCACACTTATATGGAAACAACATGTTTATTTTAAGATACATAATGAATGACCTTCCACTCCACATGGTGTAGCTTTAAAATAATTCTCTATTGCCATTTTTATTGTTACTTCAAAAACTATAAATCTCTTACAATTAAGTATTCAATTAGTTAGCTTATTTTGAACGTATGCCTTGTTTATGACAATTGTCTGATAAATTATTGATGATTATGATATATCGACTATCTGACACTATGACTATGGACTAAGGTATCTAGATCTATGAATCTAGAAGCCAAACAGCTTAATATAGATATATCGAGATCATCCCACTGCCAATACCTGTGATTTCTAAACTAAAAAGAAACTCTAATATCACTGAAAAAAGTCTGTTAGTAAGCTTAATTTCTAAATAGCCAAATGTAGACTAGATCTAGATGGCTTTTATTAATGTTTTAAATTAGCATAAAGTAAAAAATATATATTATATTTTTATTAAAAGTAGACAAATTTTAAAAAGTCCATACATATATCTGGGGGCAGGGTGGCTGAGTGGTTAAGCACTTGGGTTCTGGTTCTCAGTGAAGACTGGAACTTTGAATTTCTGTTGTTTTAGGGCGCCCCTGAGTCTACCCAACTCCTATGGGTACCTGACTTTAGTTGGGGAAAGTAAAAGCCGTTGGTTGTTGTGCTGGCGACATGACACCCTGCTTGTTAACTGTAGGCCAAAGAAACAGATGATCTTAACATCATCTGATTTATAGATCGCAAGGTCTGACAGGGGAACTGTACTTTATACATATATCTAGAAATTATTGTGCTTACCTTTCTGATTCAACATAATTATAATTTGTACAATTTTAGTAAAACTTTTTTTTTTTATTTAAAAGTGTTAAACTGTGTAATTTTTTTTTTTATAGGTGACTTGTTATTGATGACACTGGAGTCGAAATTTTAATGTTTATAACAGCATCCAATAGCTGTTAATGTGGAAAAAATGTGGAACTTGATTTTCAGTGCTGCACGGACTTATGCCCCCTACATAACTTTGCCCATTGCAGCGGTAATAGGAGTAGTTGGTTACAATGTAGAGTGGGTGGTACGAAAAGAAAAAAATACACCATTTAAGGCTAAGAGCATACAGGAAGAAAGAATTGAACGTACTCTGAAAGAATTGGAAATGATAGATCCTACAAAAATTGACTCCTTAAAGTCTAAAAAGGATATTCCTAAAACTGTTTTAGGAAGAAATGAAAATATTGGAAAAACTGCATAAAAACTGATGTAAATTTTTTCATGGATTACTAATGCTAGTATTTGTTTTTCATTTAAATTAAAAAATTATATGAAGTTTGTACGGGAAAAAAAAGTACTTTTTAAAAAATTGGTTGGTAGTTGTAGAGGTTGTAATTAGTTTAAAACTGAATTTTTCATAGGCCATTTACAATTTTAGCCTCACAATTTGATAAAATAGTTCAGGCTGTATCTCATTAACTCAGGAAGAAAAACACAACATAGCCCAAGGATGTTTACACAGATCTTTATCGAGATATATCGAGATCATCCCATCATGATATATATATATCAGTATTTTCAAGATCATGTTTTAATGCTCATCTGTTTTGATTAGTTTGTAGCATTACTTATGTTTTGTTATAGTTTACAAAGATAGATTAAATTCACGTTTTCATGGCATCTATGTTGAAACTGACATAATGTGATAACAATAATGACCTATTTATGTGCGTTACTAGATTCCAAGACTATAATGAGGGTAGCTGTGTGGGCTGTAAGAAGTATACTTACCATTCTTACAACATTGATGTATCGTTTATGTGTTAAAAGTGTTCCTTACATTCTAGCGATAACAATTACTGTTTCTTTGTGTGTCATTTGTGTTTGTTTTTTTATTAAGTATGAAAATGCCTTTTTTACTTTTAACAACTTACATTAGATATTGGCAATTTATCAAGATATGGGTACAATACAGTCTCTAAAGTGTTGTTCTTTCTCTTGAAATAATTTTATCCAACAAAGAGAAATTAGGAATCGTAGAAACATTAATCATAATGTTCTTGCTCAGGCTTTCCCAAAGTGAGGTATCCCTGTGGGTATAGGGAGAGTGTGTAAGGGCTACAAGTTGCACCTCATCAACAATGCTGATTTATAATATAAGAATACCCATTAATTAGGTTCAGTTTAGTTAATAACCTAACATAGAATGATACTAAGTTTAAGATCCCATTTTTAGTGGCTCCCTAAAGGGGAATACACGCTATTAGTTTTGTGTGGTCTGTTCGTCCATCCATCCCGTTTAGATCTCATAAACTTGAAAAGATAGTGAAAATCCGATATCATGATATTTGATGCAATGGCTTTTTTTCTTTTCTGAAAGCAAAAAATTTAATTTTTAAAATCAACTATGCAAGCATTTTTTTCATAAAAATACTCCATTTTTACAATTATTCACTATTAATAGCAACAAACACGAGGCTATTTAGTAAGGGAGATGACTATCTACCATATTTTTAACACACTTATGCAAACGGTTTTAGATTTTTTGTCTAATGAATTTATTTTTTTTAAACAATGGTATTGCTAAGTTAACTAAGTTCTGTCATACTAACTACTACAGTTACAAAAGAAATGCTTACTTTTTTAAAGTGAAAAAATCTATTTATTATGCATATAACTGGAACATATTTTAAAACAACAATTAATTAGTAGTTTTTCATATATTCGCGTGAACTGTATCACTGTAGCACAAACATAGAACACCTAATTAAAGGAAATTAAAAAAAATTTTTTTTTATATTTACGGAAAGTTTTTTTTTCTTGAGGCTTTGAATAAGAGATTGACCCCTTACAAAGCAATTAGATCAATAAAATAATCATAATATGACATCAGTTAGGCCAGGTTCACATCTAACTTCACTTTCACCTATCCCTTGGTCTGCTGGACTGTTGGAACACCACACAAGATCTGTCAACCTTCTTTCTTCTCTGTCATTTGCATTTCATAGAATTTCATTCTGATAATCTTTCTGAAAATATTGAAACCTGCCTTTTACCTGCCTGAGTTGACCACTTCAGGGGCCGATTTTAAGTTTGTGTTTCCACACAAACTGTCTTTGTAACCTTGTTTATTTTTATATAAATTTTTACTTACTCAAATCGTGTGTTATTTTCACATTTAAAGAATAAATTCTTTTAAGATCAGGAAATAGATAGGATGTTACAATTTCCACAGACATTCCCCCTTTTTCAACAAAAAAGTATTTTGAATTTACCTCAAAGTTTACTTCAAAAGGACACAAAAATAAAACCACTAATTGTGATACTTAATTTAAAAACTTAAGAGTTTTTAATATAGCAATAATAATAAAAATTTAAATAAATGTTATTTGTAGTATAATTTTTATTTACATTTTTATAAAGAACAGTTATATCTGTTGTTTATTATTTTGTATGAAATAAAATATATTTTGATTGTTATTAAAATAAATCCATTTTCTTTTTGCAAGAGGGGTACTTAGTGTTAGGGAAATTTTAGAATGGGTACACCTATGTCATTAGTTTGGAAAACACTGTTCGAGATGGTTAAAATAATATTTTAACATAACCTAACCCGTGACCCTCATATTTAGATACCTCACCTATCAGTGGGCAAATAGCTATTTAATATTAAAAGTGCAACATTTATTGAAATTAAATAAATCAACTGAACAAAAAACAAGAAAATAAAACAACTCTATAACATGATTTTCTATAACATTTTATTAACATAATATTACACATTTGTTGATGTTAAGAAATAAAATGTAAACAACTTAATATTCTAGTTCAACTTTCTATATGAAAATTGCAAAGACCAACTAAAATGAAAATCAGTCTGTGTGAAAAAGTAAGTAATGGAACTGGAAATTATTTGACAGATTAACATATCTGGTAAGTAAACAGTTATTCAATAAACATCTCGAGCATAGGTTGAGTTCCAGTCTCTGTTAAAGATGTTGACCAGCTGACTTCTAAGCCCATCATTGTCTGTTTCATGCAGAATGAATCCTACCCCACCTGTGCTGGTGAAATAATCTCCTGACCAGTTTGATGTACCTGTGAATGGGGAAAAATACATGAAATAGCAAGTTAATGATGACCAATCAACAATATGCTTGCCACTTTTTAATCTATACATTTCAATTGATTAAATTCAATTTTTTAGTTTGAAAGAACATTACAAAAGACAAATAAAAATCAATCACTAACATAAAGGAAAAACTGCTTAATAATAAATCATTATTTCTTTTTTTTTTTTACTTTTTAAAATTTCCTTTGTACAGATCAATGATTTTGACTGACAAAACTTGATGAGTCTCATATTTTTCCATTATTTGTTTAATGGTAGCAAAAAGAAGTATACCTATATAAGCATCCTGATCTGTAACCATGTATTTACTATGACCAACTCTAGAAAAAGGAATGTCTCTCTGAATTGCTGTAAAAGCTGGTATGGTAAAGAGTTTCTGAAGAAAAAAAAGATTTATATTAAAAAAAATATTTTTATTCCAGTAAATTTAACTGAAACCAATGAAACAAAAAAATAAAAATGAAAGAAATTAAATATGAATCAAAGAGACATTAAAATTTCTAATTGCTTTAAATTAATAAACAATGAATTAAATAGCTTCTGAATTATGTAATTAAACCTTCCAATAATAAAGAATAGATAAACAAAAAAAACTACGTAATAATACTTTCATATAATAGTAACTATATAAAATCAAATACAAAACTCACCACTTGAATGTTAACTTTGAGGCTTGTTGCATTTTTCAAAACATTGAGAGAATTTAGAAAAGCATACATATCTCTTTTAGTGTGTACCCATTTGCTTGCTAGCAGACACACAACCACCTTCTTGTCTATTGCTGCTCTTCTCAGTTCATCATCAATTACTGGCCAGTAACTGTGTAGTTGAGAAGTAGCTAATTACTAAGATACTTCAATGCTTAGGATCAATGTCATTTGTAATAATTCAAAAAAATAATTTTCTCTGGTGTAAAATAATAACTTTCGATAGACTTAATTTAATAGAAAAAAAAAGAGACAGTTTGAAACTGCAGCCCTTGTGGGTTAGGTGACCTCACAAATCATGTCACAAAGAAACTCAAACATGGTGGGTCTCATTTATAACATTGGCCAGAAAATAATCAAAATTATACATTATTGTTACAGACTTAGTAGCAGTTAATCAGTATTTGTATTTTGTATTGTTCCGTAGCAGTTAAATTAAGATTTGTGTATTTTTGTAGTTCCAGATATGACATTTCAAGTTATTGAAAAAATTCTTTAAAATAAATTAACTTTTTAATTGTGAAATGGTTTATACATACTTGCATACAAAATGTATAATTAAAAAAAAATCAAAACATTCTTTCAGATGACCAAAACTAGATGTTGCACCTATGAACATGTTTTTTTACAAAATTAAGACAATAATTAGATCAGATTTAAAACTGTTTCCATGTGCCTTTTCTATTTTGTTTTATAAATGGTTTTTAAAATGTTTGACTTTTATAAAATATCATACCAGTACTAAATAAAAAAAAAATAAAACAGCCCACTTTCAGAGTACCTTATTAATAGCCTTGACACCTATTTTGCACATGACGAAAAGAAAAGAACACAATAATGCTACTAGAAAATTGTGCAATCAGATTCCCAATAACCCTTATAGTTTCAAGATGTAATGTAATAGCACAAAAAACATTATAGGCCTCTTAAAAGGGACTAGGTAAAAGTCTTTTTTTTTTTTTTTTTTGTAAGCTCACTTACACTTGGGGCATTGAATACACAATCAAAGGCAGGTAATCCATGACAGAGATGTAAACAAACTCTTTAGCAGCTCTTATAACACTAAGAATAGCATCTATGTCTCCTGATCTTCCATCAGCACAGAAAGGAGGTGGCGAACTCTGGGTTAATGAAAAAGTTGTAGATTATAGTTGTAGTATACATAAAGTGTACCATAGATTTTAGTTCTAGTATACATAAAGTGTACCACCATATTTCATGTAGAAATCCATAAAAAGACTTTAGACACACATTTCTACTACTAAATATACAAACAATACCGGAGTAGTCATTCTCGTTTCCATGGCAAATGTTGTTATATTCTAACTTATAAAGGGCTATACAATCAAGCATTTTATATTTTAAATGTTCATTTATATGAATAAGGATGAGTGTGAAAAACATTACTGACAGTAAATTAGGAGAAACTAAAAAATAAATTTTATCTAAAAGTAGGCCTAATTGAAAAGTGAAAATATTGAAGAAATAAATTACAGACTGCACTTTGTCTTGGTTGTACAATTGTCTCACACACTTTTTGTTACAGAAATTTTGAAATTTAATTACAGTAATGAAGAAGATGATTCTTTAGCAATGACATGTGATGGGATTTGCAGAGATTACCAGAAAGTAAAAATGAGTGATTAAAAAAATCTGTCCAGCTTATAAAAATACTAATCCATATCTTATTTTGCCCTCATTTTTTATTTGTAAATCTCAGACGTTGCATCTCTAGCTAGTTCTACCCCTTGAACTTGTTTAACATTACCATTGCTACCACTGTGTACAATCTAACAATCAAACAATGTAATATCTAAAGATAACAACGAAAACCTATGGTCATACATTAAGTCTAAGAAAATGGAAACAACAGGCATAACGCCATTAAAAGATGAACATAACATAATACATAATGATAATGAAACTAAAGCAAACATCCTAAACAAATACTTTGCATCAGCATTCTCAGCCCCAGGAGACAAAGACATATTACTTAATTTGAACCAAGCAGACAACATAGAAGATATAGTAGTACAAGAAAATGGAATTAAAAAACTAT